TGTGTGTGTGTGTGTGATAGGTGAGGAATGCCATGGGTGACTTCCACAATTAAAGGCAAATGTTATGTAAATATGCTCAGAGAAGTTTTATATTTATGTTTTACACCTCCCCTTGTATTGTTATCAGGGGTGACCTGTGTTTGGGACATTTGGGAGGGTTGGCTCGTTACTATGGCAACAGCTGACCTCTAATCAAGATTTAAGGAAATTACCTCCACCACTGGACAGCAAAGAAGGATGGAACAGATGGAGAGAAATTTGGGAGTGGATAAACGGTTAAAAGGCACAACCTCCATTGTGTGGGTGAGCACATGATGGGAAAAATCCTTTGCTCCCAGCGCTGTAATATTTTCTCCATTCAGTCTTCTGTTATATTTTTGATAAGGTTTTAATAAACCTTTTAAAATTTTTGGAAGTGAGTATCCTTTCTCCCATGGGTATGTCCATGTATCTGTATGTACACGTGTGTATAGTCATATGTGCCCACTTGTGTCACCAAGAGCACTCAAAGGTACTGGCAAAAAGCAGATTTTAATGTAAATTTGTGAAAATGCAACTTAAGGGAGTTGAATTATGATGTTCAGCCTGTTGCTGGCTACATGGCTGAAGTATGTGTAGGAAAACCAGACTGGAATTCATTTAGGATAATTTACATGGAGGGGATTTTACATTTACTGAGGATGAAAAAGGGTGAGAGTACAAAAAAGATAATGATGCAAAAGGGTTTAGCAGCACTCAATCATGGACTGATTTAACAATTAAACATTCAATAGCATTTTTTACACTTTAACAGTGACAGTAATAGACTCATGATAAAAAGCATTCATAGCAGAATCAAATCACGCACATTCAGAGATGTGCACATCTGTACTGATCTGTGCAGAGGAACCTGTCAAAAATTCCCCTTAGGTTCAGTGAAATGTGTCACATCCCTCAGTGATTCTCAAAGGTGGGGATTGCACCTTGAGGGGTGTCAGGGGTGGGGGATTGATAAGGGAACAAAAGAATGAAGAACAAATCAGCCTTGAAGGCAATGGGATCAACAACCAATAGGAGATCAAATACTAAGAATTGTGTCATTTAAGACCAATGAACAAGGATTTCTTTGGGGCTTTGTATGTATAAATATGTGAAAATCTGCTAAAGAGGCATGTGTGACAGAATGAATCTCACTGCACAACCTGGACATGCGTGGATGAAATAATTTCTGTTGCACATCCTGGCCAGAATAAAGTAATGACTAAATTCTCTTTCCTATCACATCTTTCCTATCAATTCCAAGTTTTCATCCTGGCCATAACCCAAGTTGGGAACAATGGTACCATTCTACTCAAGTTAGAACTCAGGTAAATTATTTACCAAGGCTAACAGTTCTAACTGGTAGCAGTTATCCTTTGTTATCCTTTGTTATCCATCTTGGTTGCTCACTGAAGACTCCTGCTGTTGGAACCCTGGATGCTGAGAATTTCAGACATTCTGTGCTGACAGGCATTGACCCCCAAGAGAACAAGAAAAAAGTACACATTGTGGGCTTGGTTGTGAGCAGATGGTTATTGGGTTAAAAGAAAAAATAATTTAGGTGTCATTTCTTAATTGGACAGTTTATCCTTAAAAGGCCTTGTAGAGAGACAGAGACAGGGCCCCTTTTTTAGTCTGTTAGAGTGAAGTGCTGTAGAACTCAGGGTTTGTGGGACTGTGACAGAGATAAGAAGTAATAAACATCTGAGTCCAAACAAGAAATACCATCTCACACATTGAAACCTGACCTTGGCAGAGAAAAGCAGCAAAGAATCAGCATCCTGTTGCAGTCAGAATTATTCTCATCTTTACCATGCTCCAGTACAGTCAGGGACACTTTACCACTCAACTGGTACAGTCAAGGGGATTCTTTAAGAACCTATAAATGAAAAACACACACTTTTGAGATAATATTAGTTGAGGAGGTAATAAAAAGCTGGTCTTTATTGGAGGCCTTCAGGAGCAGTTATGAGAAAATATCCATAAAAGCCCACCTCCCACGGGGTGAACGCAGTTTTCTAAATTTAGCAAATTATCATAATTGACTAGAATTCCCAATTAGAAGCACAGGTGATGAGGTAATTCCCCCTTCT